ATATGTGTTTTTTTTTTTTTTTAATTGTATCCTTTGGTATATATGGTTATGACAATTTTCTTCCACTATTTGATTTGAGGAAGTGGGTCTGGCCCACGAAAGCTCATCATCTAATGAACCATCTTGTTAGTCTTTAAAGTGCTACATAGTCCTGTTTTTTGTTTCCGCTACACCAGACTAACACGGCTACATTTCTATCACTTGTTTAATTAGGTGCACTGACTGAAGTAAATATAACAATAGTCTCCACAGGTGGATATGTGCAAATTCCTCCTGAACTGCTTGGCTCTGTGGCTCACACTTAAGCCCCAGTAGGCTGCTCAGATGAGGCATTAACTCCCCCAGACCCCAAACTGCCTGCAGGACCCATCCAGTAAGTGTATTCAAAATTTGCTTAACTTGCACAAAAGACAGTTGAGGGAAGAGTTTTGGGGCAGGCTGGGGGTGAAGGGTGTCCCAGTCCCATGACTGCATTGTCTAGGGCACTTACATGGGCTGCAGAAGACCTGGTTTGAATCCCTTCACCTGCTTTGGTCTAGAGATGTGAATCAGGTCTCCCACAATCTAGGCCAGAGCTACTTAACATGTGGCCCACAGCCCATTTGTTTGCAGCCCACAGTGCGGCTTGGATTTACGTGGGGCTCAGCATGCAGGTGGGAGCCAAACAAAAAAGTAGTCGATAGAATGGTCTTCTGTTGATATGCGTTTCAGTAGTTAAATTCCTGGACAGTCATTGCTCATTAAAAGTGCTGCCATATGGGTGGAAATCAGGTAAATATTGCATTTTATTAATAATCAGCAGAACTGACTTAGATGGGGCCTGTGTGTTGTGTAGTCTTGCCTTAATCTTTGTAGTCATGCCCGTCAGTGTGAAAGAAGCTATTTGCATATATATGCAACCACACTTAAGTTGCAGCCCTCGGCATGTGCTACGAGTATCGTGGCCCCAGGGGCTTCCAAAGTGGAGTAGCCCTAATCTAGGCTACTGGGTATTCTTAGGTATCTCTCTCCTAGTAGAGCCATTTCACTTTGCATAATCAAATTACAGATTTCTCACAGCATGGAACTTGAATGTGACTCTCTCACTTCCAGTGTGAGGGCCCTCACCATGACCTAGAGAGCGTCCCTCTGGCACCGGGGCTTTTCCTGAGAATGTCTGGCCTGGGTACCAGATCTGGGAGAGGATCCACACCTGTTACTCCTCAGAGGAGAGAGGCATCTCCCCCCCAGCCTAGATGTTGATTGGTGGGGCCTGTCCTACAGGCGAGCTTGGGGCTTTGCCCACACTTGCACTTTCGTTGGTCAGGAGGTTAAAAAATGCACACCTGGCTAACATACGTTTCACCAACAAAAGTGCTGGTGTGAACAGTGCAATGTCAGCAGCAGGGGAGATACTGCTCGGTAGGGGTGATTTATTATACTAGAGGGAGGGTGGCTACATGACAATGCAGTTCTGCTGCTCTAAGTGGAGATGGAGCCTAAGGATCTCTCAGCTTGGCTTGCTGGTTTCTGAACATCCGTTGCGTTGATCCCTAATGCTTCCTCCACACTTCCAGGGCACCTCACTCAGGGCTGCGAATTCCACTGGACACCTAGCATCGAGGCATTATGCGAGGGCCCAAAAGCAAGCTATTCCAATGTGTCGGAAAGATAGAAAATATGGCAAAAGGCCGCATTGGCTTAACCACGAGATCTTGCATGATCTAAAAATAAAAAAGGAGTCGTCATAAAAAATGGAAGGTAGGACAAATTACAAAGGATGAATATAGGCAAACAGCACAGGAATACAGGGGCAAGATTAGAAAGGCAAAGGCACATAATGAGCTCAAACTAGCTACCGGAATAAAGGAAAACAAGAAGACTTTTTATAAATACATTAGAAGCAAGAGGAAGACCAAGGAGAGGGTAGGCTCACTGGTCAGTGAGGAGGGAGGAACAGTAACAGGAAACTTAGAAATGGCAGAGATGTTCAATGACTTCTTTGTTTCGGTCTTCACCAAGAAGTCTGAAAGAACGCCTAACAGTGAATGCTAGTGGAAAGGGGGTAGTTTTAGAAGGTAAAATAAAAAAGAACAAGTTAAAAATCACCTAGAAAAGTTAGATGCCTGCAAGTCACCAGGGCCTGATGAAATGCATCCTAGAATACTCAAGGAGCTGATAGAGGAGGTATCTGAGCCTCTAGCTATCATCTTTGGAAAATCACGGGAGACAGCAGAGATTTCATAGGACTGGAAAAGGGCAAATATAGTGCCCATCTATAAAAAGGGAAAAAAAGAACAACCCAGGAAACGACAGACCAGTTAGTTTAACTTCTGTGCCAGGGAAGATAATGGAGCAAGTAATTAAGGAAATCATCTGTAAACACTTGGAAAGTGGCAAGGTGATAGGGAACAGCCAGCATGGATTTGTAAAGAACAAATCATGTCAAACCAATCTGATAGCTTTCTTTAATAGAATAACGAGTCTTGTGGATAAGGGAGAAGCGGTGGATGTGGTATACCTAGACTTTAGTAAGGCATTTGATACGGTCTCGCATGATATTCTTATCAATAA